ACAAGTTGTGGCTCGTCAGGTTCACCCGACCATTTAGGAAACATCTCTTCAATTGAGTCCTTCAAAAACATTCTCCTCACATGCACATGCAATACCAGGTTATAATAAAACTCAGCCACCAAAATAACACAAAATTCAGTCATTAAATAAAATAATTCGACTAAAAACACATAACTCAGAATAAATCAGCCATAAAAAAACTCAATACTCAGCCTTAACCCTTACCTCGTCATGCTCTTTGATTTTGGCAGACAACAATTTATCAAAATTTGCACGTGTACGCTTTCCACCCCATCGTAAAATCAAAACGTCATCATTATTGACCACTCTCCCAAAACTCTCACCGGAGCAGTCGACGGATTCATATGCCCAAATCAATAATGAGCCCTTCATGCCGCTTATTGTGTATGACCCTCCTTCGGGAGCCAACATTTTAATAGAGTCAACAAGAATTTCATATGCAGTCCAACCCCATGGATATGACCTCATGTCATTCATCGTCGAATACCCTTATTGTACTTTCAAAGGGTATCCTGGAATTGTTATGCAATAGACTCCCATGCTTGAAGAAGTAGCAGCCTCTACCACTTACGCTTTTCAAAACTCCAAAGTGGAGAGAACTCTAATGATGTATTCAGTTCATCTAACTTGGTACTCATCCCAAGCGGCACCTTCAACTCCTCTCAAAACTCATTGTATTGATCAGGTTCAAAATATTTTGTTGGCAATGGATCTGTGTTTAACCAGGTGATCTCACCAAACTCGAGTAAGCTAAACCTGGTATATCAATGTAGAATATAATGATTTTGTATTTAATAGCTAGATTTTGTGGAGTCAATCAGGCCAAAGATATACATTGTAGGTATATATATGTAAATTAGTTAATATATATATGAGATTATCTATACTATTAAAAGTGAAGGCGCCTTTAAAAAGTCGACTGATAGAAGTTGTCTGCACCCTCATTATAATTTTTTGGTTGACATTTTTTGGTATATGCATCATATATCGACTTTATAAACTCATATTATCTAACCATGATATGATGTTATATTTCATATATTAATATTTTCATATAGTTGACTACACCTTATATTTTAAAGATTATAGTTTATAAACTCATATCACTCTAACCATTATATGATGCTATATTTCATATATTAAAATATTCATATAGTTGTACTACACCTTATATTTTAAAGACTATACTTTATAAACTCATAATACACTTTATATTACATATATTAAGATTTTGTAATATAAATTGAATGTTACTAATGCATCAATATGTCATTACAGTAGGTTTAGGTTTCATCCCATTTTAATAGTATCGATATAATATATTGTCTATATCGACATTTTCATAAAATCTCTACCTCAAAACCATTTCATGACATTTGAGAATGGAGAATCCATTCAAAATGTCCTTCATTCATGTTTTTTCTCCATTTTTAAGACATTTGAGAATGGAGAATCCATCCAAATGTCATTCATTTCATGTTTTTTCTTCATATATGAAATATACAAGTCATGTCTCGCTAAATTTACCCGTATTTATAAACCATAGTTAGACGAAATATAGTGATATCAAATATGTCGATATATCATCATTCTCAAGGTGACATTTAATGGACGAGATACGTTTTGTTAAGAAAATATTGCAAATACTAAAAATAATAAATTGCTTCATCTACAAGTTTATATATTAACCACAATCAATATCGTGGTTAGTTATTTTTGCTTGGATTCCATAAATTTTGGTAACTTACCGTAGTTGGATTAGCATTAACTGTTAAACTTTCTAATTAATTTAAAATATATTCAAGAAATATTCCTTATTCCTCGAAAGAGATATTTTTAAAAATCCTCTAAATATTCTGCCTTACATTTGCGTAACCTAAATGTATATCTTCCCTACCTATTATAAATGTATCCTCTCTTAACCACTATATTCATCATTCCTTGAAAAACCTAAATCAAAAATGGCGAATAATTTGTAGTTGTCTTTCTTGAGCGATATCAAACCGAGGAAAACTGCATGTCGCATCCAAGTCAAAATCCTTCATACATGGAGACATGTCATGAAAGACATAGGGGAGACCATGGAACTGATCATTTGTGATGCAAATGTCAGTTTATCATTTTGTATATATTTTTTATTTAGATATCTTCATTTCATTTCGTAAAAGCTTAACCTAAATGATAATGTTTTATTTATGTTTATATAGGGAACTAAGATTCATTCCTTGTGTAGCAAGACACACATTCCTGAACTGGCAAAACATATTTGTGTTGGAGTATGGAGGAACATTGATCGTCTCAGTGTGTCTGCTTCTGGTGGAGCATACAGATCAACTCAGCATAAGTATCGCATAGCTTTTAATAGCACCACCAAAATCACCGATTCTGCACACCGTGATGACAACATGTTTCTTGATCTGATTGATTTCAAAACCACAGAAAGTATCACAGATACAAACTTCATTATCGGTCAGTTTTCTTCCATTTAAATTATCTCCATTGTTGTGTATCTATCTAAAACCAGTATATTTTTATCTAGGTGTTATTGGACAAGTTCGAGACTTGGGTGATCTGGAAACCATAGGGTGTAGTGGTGGAAACAAAGGAATAAGTTGGAGTTTAGTCTCGTGGACATTTCGTAAGTTTAATATATTTAATATAAAAGATATATGCCTATAAACATATTAATTTAAAACTTCATATGCAATTCTATTAGTGGTCAGAGATTAGCTTGCTGTCTTTGGGGTAAATTTGCTGAGAATCTTCATACAGCTAGCCAAGAAACAAAAGGCATAGTGATATGTCTTCTACGATTTGCTAAGATTGGGCAATATAGAGGTATTCTTTAAAAATGAAAACTTATGTTTCGATTTTGTACTAAATGAACATTGTTTACATAGTTGGAAAGATGTTTCTACTAACTTAATATTTTTACCCAAAGTGTACTTCATTTTTCCGTTTTATATTAGAAGAAATTACTCAAATTCTTATGATTTATTTTTGGTTATAGGTGAGGTCCAAATCTCAAATGCTTATGATGTAAGTCAGATGTTTGTCAATCCTGAATTACCTGAGGCAGATGAATTTAAACAACGGTATTTATCCTCTTCAATAAAAAAATTTTTCACTATAAAATAGCATAGATTAAATTATAAAACTTATTTATAATCGCAGAGGTAATGATGATTCTCAAGCGTTACCCCTGGCTGAATCAAACGAGAACAAGCTTGATTTGCAGATAAAGCGAGATAAATGGATGCATTATCCTCAAAAGAATCTTCAGGAGTTACTTGGAACATCTGAGGTATTGCATTTTCAAAAACATCTTAGGTATTGCATCTCTTTGATTGTTTTGTTAAAGGATGCTTCAGATAAATTTTCAGTTAACGATCAAGCTCTTACTCCAGATTTCTTAAATACCATCAAAGTCTCAGGTTTGCCAAACTATAGTCTTCACTTAAAGATGGGTTGTCCTACTATGTTGCTCAGAAACATAGATCCGACTGGCGGATTAATGAATGGGACTTGACTTTAGGTTACAGAGATGTACCCTAACATTATAAAGGCAAAAGTTATTACAAGAGATAAGGATAAGGTTGGGCGAGTAGTTCTTATTCCTAGGCTTGCTATTATCCATTCTGACAAGAAGTTACTTTTCAAGATGAGGAGGAGGCAACTTCCTATTTATTTGGAGTTTGCCATTACAACCAATAAGAGTAAAGGGCAATCTCTATCATAGGCCGGGATTTACCTACCAAGGCCTGTTTTTTCTCATGCCCAATTATATGTGGCTATTTCAAGAGTTGCATCCAAAAAGGGGTTGAAGATTTTGATTGTGGACGATAAAGGGAAGCCTCAGAGACAAACAATGAATGTCGTTTACAAAGAGATCTTCCAGAATATCTGATTTTTTTCAAGAACGTTGTTTTCGTTTTTATATTATATCTAATTTAAAATGAATTTCCATTATATTGTCTCTTAAATTTATTTTAATTTCATTCTATATTAGATCATTTTTAATAATCTATATTATATTGTGCAACCGGAAATGATACCATTGCAGCCAAATTTACATTTTAACTACCAAATCATTCTTCCACTACCTACAGAAAATCACATAATGTGGTCGAATCAAGTATTTAAGCGAATCCTATTAATTATTATCTAATCCGTTTTGAAAAATAGATGCAAATTTCGGTTTTAATATAAGGCCCAAAATTATATTGGGCTGCATAAATTTTAATATATTTTGAGCTATTAGAAATATTACATAATTATATATGTGGAGCCTTTTGACCCATTAATAGATTAATAGGTTTAGTTCCTATCTATATAAGACTCTTCGATTGTCTACAATAACCATAATATCTCTTCATCTTCCTCTCTCTTACCGGAAAACAATATTTTCTTTCTTTGTTCTTTCCATCTTTTTTCATATAAGACATGTTATTCTGTTGTTAGATATGTTCTTGCTTAGTCTATTTTGACCCATTAATAGATCAATAGGTTTAGTTCCTATCTATATAAGACTCTTCGATTGTCTACAATAACCATAATATCTCTTCATCTTCCTCTCTCTTACCGGAAAACAATATTTTCTTTCTTTGTTCTTTCCATCCTTTTTCATATAAGACATGTTGTTCTGTTGTTAGATATGTTCTTGCTTAGTCTATTTTGAATCTATGGTTAGAGTAAACTGTCACTAGGTTCTTTTTTCGTATTTTATTGAGTATTGTCATACTAGGGTTAGATTTTTAGTTACGGTTTTATTTTCGATTCTCTGATTATTTTATAAATCGTGTTAAATTTAGAGGATCTAACTATAGAAGATATTTTGGGGTAAATATATACTTTATGTGAATTTATGTTAGATCTTACATCTACATAATAAATATTTAGGGTTTATTATATTTCCATTTTTGTTATATTTGTTTCCTAAAATTTATATTTTTGCTTCTTGAACATTGAGAAGTATCTCAATGGCAGGTAACATGGATTTAAAGATGAAAGGTCACATGAAAGAGGATGAAGGGGAAACGTTGAAGGAGGCTTACGAGAGGGGCATGTTCGAAAATCGAGACCATGAGCGTTATCGCGCTATTCTCTTGATGTACCATGATCAGAATAAAGCCATTGAAGCAAGGCATCAGGAGGAGCTCAATAAGGTTTGCATTGCTGCGAAACTGGAGTACCTCAAAGAATGCAAATTTATTTTTTACATGTACCATGAAAAGAAGATGGCAGAGTTTGAGCTGGTCCTTGCCGAATCCAAGCTTGAAGATGTTAAGGTCCCTACTATCGATTGGTTCAAGTTGGGTGAGCCAATGATGTATGACTGAACATCTAACCATTCTCAATCTTAAGTTTTTAAGTTAATCTTTTTTAAAAAAAAATTGAACATTATCTACCGGTTGTTCACAACCGGTTTTGTTATATTTAAAACTTTTAATTAATGATTAATATTTCTAATATTATATGTTTAGTATCTACTCTTATTTTTTTATTTATTGCTTAATTTACTCATATTTTAGGTGTTTTAGGATTATTTTTGTTTAGGAATAATGGTTTCAGTTACGTTTAGTATTATTAGGTTTAATACTAAAGATTCTGGTGTTTTTAGAAGTTTAATGCTTAGATACTAAAATATATCTTTTTCTTAATTAAACAACTACTAGATTTTTAAACTTTATATTTTTTCTTATTTATTAATCTTACTTTTAGAATTTTGTTTGTTATGATTTGTTTTGACAATTCTGAAATGTACTTCTGATATGATTGACATAAATCTCATCTTCCAAAACGATTATTTTATAAAGTTGTTTCAAAGATGTTCTTTCTAGGACGTAATGATTTGACAGTTTGGTCATGTTATCCATATTTTTAGATAAAGATTTCATATATTTATTGAGTTTATCCATATCAAACAATCATTACTCTTTTTGAATTCTTTACTACATGCAAAAATCCGATTGTCATATTTATTGGATTTAACTACAAATTTGTAATACAATTTTGGGTATTTTCAATAGTATTGATTTTTCAACACTACTATGGGCTATGGACCCATCCAATTTTTGTTTCAATCTAATACTAGGATAAGACCTGCGCCTTGCGCAGGGTGAATATATGTAATTAAAATATAAAAATTTAGTATTTGACAAATTTAAAATTTACATATGATTGTTTTTGTATGTATTTGAAATTTAAGAATTTTGAAATTTTTATATAATTATCTATATGTAGGATCAGAAACAATTTTAGTTAGAAATGTAGATCAAATCTTTGAATTTAATGGATCTGATTTCATATATTCACTTTTAAATGTTCGAGTGATGGAAAATAAATGGAGTGTCACTAGGCTTGATTGGTAGAGTATTAGCAACTGGTAAAATATTTGCATTTAAAATATATAAAGTTTCAAAATTAATTTAATACAATTTATTTATCTGTCTAATAATATTAGAAAATTATATTTTTTACAAATTATTATTTTTAAAAGTAATTTATTAAAAATTATGTTAAATTTTAAATTATTTTTAAAAACAATAATTTAAGTTTTTCAAATACAAATAAACAATTTAAAATTAATTATGGTCATGATTTAACATAACCATAATGATTTAAAAAAAATAAAAATTAACAAATTAACAAATTAAAAATTAACTCAGTTTTATATCATGATTTAACAATTTAAAAATTAGTTATGGTTATGAGAAGTTCACGTTCACGTGTCAGTCCTATTTATCTTCCATTTTTCTCTTGCTATGTTTTTTTTTATATTTTGGTTATTACTCGATATAAATATTTATTTTGAATTTTATTCTCATTTCAAGTGTTTTAGAAAATACTTAAGATTTAAAATAATTAAATATATACATACTTAGGTTAAGATCTGCACTTTATGCACAATAAGTATTTTATATTTATTATTTATTTTATATTTTCTGCATATTATAAATAATAAAATAATAAATATATATTAAATAACTAAGAAATCAGTTACTATTATATAATAAATTGGCGTATGCATATAAATTTAACTATTACTCTTGTTTATTCACAATAAGGGTAAATAAATCAAAATAGTAAATCTTATATATTGTATATGATATATAATTAAATTTAAATGATATAAACATAGTAATATAACACACTTTTAATATGGATATTTATTAAATGAGGTTTCTACTCATATGATTTTATGATTATTTGCATATTTGTGTAACAAAATTTTACACCAATGATTTTTTTTAATGTGAGATGTTTAGTAGTTTCAATAATTTATAATCATTTTT